CAGTTGATGTCAGCCGTCGTGAAAGAAATCATAGAACTATCTCAACAACCAGCGGTATCGACCGCTATAAAAAAAAAAAAAAAGAAGATTAGGATATTGGTCACAATTTGAGGCGAAGCAAAGAAACACACAACAGGCACTGAAATAAGAAAACAAATGGATTGCAGAAGTGAATGCGTCGAAGAGAATAACTGAGACGAACGTTGTTGAGACAGGCTAGAGATGTCGGATTAGACTCCATCTATGACGTGGAACAGGTTAGCACAAGGCATCACGGAATGGAGGCATTGGCTGCAAGCTCTCTGTGACGTCACAACTGGATTATGATGTTGATATAATCCTATCAGTGTGTGTGTGGTTTAGGGGTTGCGAACACAGTGCAACAGTCCCGACATACATCTGTTTAAGTCGGCTGCAGGTGTCGCGCCGTTTCATATTGATTTTGCTAACGGTATGAAATTCATACGCCGCCATGGTATAGCTGCTAGCCTGTGGAACCGAAGATTTTGGGTTCAAATCCAAACGAAGCTGGACTTTTTTTCACAATAACTTTGGCTGCCAGGTCGACCCAGCCTTAAATAGGTACAGGTAAAGTCATGGTAAAGACAGTAAAGATAAACACAGACAGTAAAGGCGGTAATCGTGACGTTTACCACATCACCCACTGAGTAGCGATTGGTCCATAAAAGATAGGTCTCGCCCTATATGCCTAGTATGTATGAAGACGTGAAAAATGGTTGCACCATTCAGTAAGCAGCGACATAAAACATGACATCGTGAAGCAGTTGTGGAATCTATCTTCTTTTACCCCACCAGGACATCACACAAGCGATAAACACCAGTTGACACAAAGTGCCACCATGTTGATGAGGATCACCCGTGGAGAGGTCCCAGAAACCGCGTTCAGCCATTAGAACATATTTATGGCCGGGCTATATCGCGGCCCCTGGCAAGAGCCAGAGTAGGGCTTCAAATAACGAAAAATTGCATCTCACAAGGAGATGACTAGATAATTGGAAGTTGTGGAAGAGCTACTAACTGTTTTTTGTTTTTTTTTTAATACTTATTTCTATGCTTTGCCGATTGCCTGTTCTTTCTGCATCTAACAGGACCCGAGCCGCCCTAATGAGAACACCATAGTGATTAGAAGTCTGGTCCCAGGCGGTGTGGCCCAGCAGGATGGGCGGCTGGTACCCGGGGACCGGCTTCTGTTTGTCAACGATGTTAGTCTGCAAGGTGCCACCCAGGTAGAGGCTGCACAAGCACTCAAAGCAGCTCCTCGCGGGACGGTGGGCATCGGCGTGGCCAAGTTGTTGCCCTTGAAGGATGTGTTCCAGTCCGCGGCTCAGGTATGTGGCTGGCAGAGTGTGGAAATGAATGAATGAGTGAAGCAGTAGTTAAAGAAGAGTCGACATGCTAACAGTGCCAGTTGCAACCTGATTCTTTATTTTCATTTTTCGACTTGTTCTTGTTCTTGTTATTCTTCTTATTCTTCTTATTGTTCTTGTTCTTCTTATTTTTCTTCTTCTTCTTCTTCTTCTTCTTCTTCTTCTTCTTCTTCTTCTGCATTCATCTGAAGATGTAATTGCTTTGTTCTGGTTTACAACCTGGCTGCGATATTTGCGCCTTTCAGCCAATACATCCGACTTCTGCGGGCATTTGTTGCCCATGTTAGCCTTTCCGGTGCGACCTGATTAAAAGTCGGCCAATGCTTCCACTTTATTGTTGAATATCTTCCAGAAGCTTACTCCACCCCTTCTTCCGTTTCATTAGTCCTTTCACGTGGACTTGGGCTTCTAGTAATTCCCCCTGGTGTCTGGGTAGTAAGATCTGACGCCCGTGTGCATTGTTCTGCACGTTAAGAAAATCCCTTGGCAGTTGGAAATAGAAAAAAAGTAGCATAACAGAGCTGCCCGGGCAAAATTTGGAGTGAAAAATCTACCCAAAGTATTTCAGGATCCTCGCCGGTGCTACAGAGCCTGTTCACTGTGCTGAGCTTCTTCTGACTCAGACTTGAGTTGAAGAAGAACGGAGCACTTATGGGTTACTACCCGTGTGCCATGATGTTAATCTCTTGTTCAAAACCTCAAACCTCAATTAGTGTTTAAGAGAATGAACTCTCTGTTACACTACATTGTCTATTTAGATCCCATAGAGCCTTCATCACGTTCCCTTTATCATAAAGTAGCTCACCGTCCAGATGAGTGGCAGGAGCTAAGCTATCAGCCTGCTCGCACACCAGAATATCATGGGCAGAAAATTTATAACATAACACAGCCAAGACTGTGGAAGCGGTTGCGATATTTGAAGATTTAAATTGTGGACTTGGTGATGGTTGTTGTGATGGTTGTTGTGATGGTTGTTGTGATGGTTGTTGTGATGGTTGTTGTGACGGTTGTTGTGATGGTTGTTGTGATGGTTGTTGTGACGGTTATTGTGATGGTTGTTGTGATGGTTGTTGTGATGGTTGTTGTGGTGGTTGTTGTGATGGTTGTTGTGATGGTTGTTGTGATGGTTGTTGTGATGGTTGTTGTGATGGTTGTTGTGATGGTTGTTGTGATGGTTGTTGTGATGGTTGTTGTGATGGTTGTTGTGATGGTTGTTGTGACGGTTGTTGTGATGGTTGTTGTGATGGTTGTTGTGATGGTTGTTGTGATGGTTGTTGTGATGGTTGTTGTGATGGTTGTTGTGACGGTTGTTGTGATGGTTGTTGTGATGGTTGTTGTGATGGTTGTTGTGATGGTTGTTGTGCTGGTTGTTGTGACGGTTGTTGTGACGGTTATTGTGACGGTTATTGTGACGGTTGTTGTGATGGTTGTTGTGACGGTTGTTGTGATGGTTGTTGTGATGGTTGTTGTGATGGTTGTTGTGGTGGTTGTTTTGATGGTTGTTGTGATGGTTGTTGTGATGGTTGTTGTGCTGGTTGTTGTGATGGTTGTTGTGACGGTTATTGTGATGGTTGTTGTGATGGTTGTTGTGATGGTTGTTGTGACGGTTGTTGTGATGGTTGTTGTGCTGGTTGTTGTGATGGTTGTTGTGACGGTTATTGTGATGGTTATTGTGATGGTTGTTGTGATGGTTGTTGTGCTGGTTGTTGTGATGGTTGTTGTGATGGTTGTTGAGATAGTTGTTGTGATGGTTGTTTTGATGGTTTGTGTGAAGGTGATAAAGGTGCACATTGTGGTTGTAGTTGTCTTGTAGCGTTGTTATCATCCTATTGTCATAAAGCAATAATAGTCAACAGTCATTATGGAAACGATAAAAACAGCAACAGTGTCACCATGCTAGTTTATCTTCACCAGACATCTTCGTTACCATATTTATTTGTTTCTTGGCGGTGCTCTCATCATTTTTCTATCTAACCACATTTTTACAGCGTCTACATAATTTCTCCTCAATCAAGTTCTCCGTCTGGTTTCCGATGCCCCATTTGGGGGAAATTAATAAAAGACAAACAAGTCGTAAAAAGCGATTGTTTAGATGTTTTTTTTTTTTTTTTAAGTCGGAGTACATCTTGCTGAGAGACGGAGAACCAACATTCTGCATGCGAATAAGCCAGATCTGTAAAATGGATGTGCACATAAAACTCAAGTTCTGGGGCAAGACCAAACTCTAGAAGTGGTTTAACAACGAGAACTTTCCGTCGGAGTTTACAGCCGGTGAAGGCTGGGAAGACGAGGTGAGACTAGTCCGGTCCATTTTTGGCTACATCAGGCATTGGTGATTGGCATCACGAGGCCTTTTAGAATGAAATGGCTGTGACATGCTGAAAGAATGTCAAATGACAGAGAAGTACAAACTGTATACACAAGGGAGAGGAATGGTCGTAGACCACGCGGCAGATCAAGAAGACAATGGAGAGATAATGTCCAGACAAACTTGCAAACACTTGATGTCACCAATGGGAAAGATAAGGCCAGCCAGGGAGATGAATACAAGGAGATGAATGGAAGGAGATGAATACAAGGAGATGAATGGAACCTCTAGGACTTGGAATACTGAGGAATAAGATGATGAAAGAGAAACTGTTTCCACTTTAGTTGACAGCTATATGTTGTATAGAAATGTTGTTTCATTTTAGGAAGTCAGTTATAGTACATAACAAAAATAGAATACAATCAAACTGCGAGAGCAGTGGTAGCACTGTGCCAAAGTAATGCTGCAGTCACTCAGCGTACCAACCTGAATCCATCACTGTTGTACATACAACAATTAATTACACACAATAATTGTATCTGTAGCATTACTGTTTGTTTCTAGATCATTCCTCAACAAGATCATTTACAAATTGACTGAGCTTGCCGGCTTGACGCCTGTGCCTTGAGGTGCTGATACCTGCTCTAAAATAAAATTAAAATTAAAAAAAGAATGATTTTAAAAAAAAAACATCAAAAGAAGCACTCGCATAAATAGCAGAACAAGCTTCTCTATGAACATGCTTCTCTATGAACATGCTTCTTTATGAACATGCTTCTCTATGAACATGCTTCTTTATGAACATGCTTCTCTATGAACATGCTTCTTTATGAACATGCTTCTCTATGAACATGCTTCTTTATGAACAAGCTTCTCTATGAACATGCTTCTCTATGAACAAGCTTCTCTATGAACATGCTTCTCTATGAACATGCTTCTCTATGAACATGCTTCTCTATGAACATGCTTCTCTGTGAACATGCTTCTCTATGAACATGCTTCTCTATGAACATGCTTCTCTATGAACATGCTTCTCTATGAACATGCTTCTCAATGAACATGCTTAAACAAAATCGCAACATGTAGTGTACTCTCCGAATTGGTAGAAAGCCTTCGGAAGTCGCACTTTAACTCCAACATCTGGATCTACACACCTGGACATTGAGGAATAAAAGAGCTGACCAGCTGGAAAGTAATTCACCAATGTAATCGGGAAGAAGCATGGACAGAGCTCATATTTTAAACGCTGTACCGGGATGGCTGGGGGTTACTGATGAATATTTAACGCTAACACGATTGCGTAACCTGGGAATAAAGCTTAGCGAAACACGTTTGGTTCGTCCTCGAGGCCAAGACAGGGGATACTTACGCCAACTTTTCCGGGAAACAATCAGTAGAGGACTTAGGAACGATGATATCAGGAGGAGAATCGGCACAGAACCAATCCTGAACTTTTTAAGTAGACAACAAATCAAATGGTTTGGCCATGTAACAAGATTGGCAGCAGACAGGGCACCACCGAGAGCAATGTTATACAGATACAACGGTAACAGACCAGAGGTCGACCACGCAGAAGATGAACCACAGAAATATCAGAGACACTGAAAAGTACTTATACGAAGCGAACAGAAAGGCCCGTTCTAGAGATCTCTTCCAACCTGACGCCGCGAGGCATTCCAGGAGTCGAGAAAAGAAGAAGAAGAAAAATCAGAAGAGGTACCGAGAAATGATGCTGCATTGGAGAACTGGATATTCACGGGAATTCCCATTGTGCAGGGACGTCGATTATCATAACATAACATAAGGGGAAAATAGAGTGCCTGTTACTATCCAGCATCCAAGGTACATAAGACACCTCTAGAAGATTACTTTGGCGGATGTCGCTGTTGCACTGTTAGCTATGTCTGCACAATGCCTTACTGAAAAGAACTTCTCTGATTGACAGGCTAGAGCGAATCCACCCAAAGAGGGATCTTCTGCCCATCAGCCTAAGAAAAGGATACCTCCGGCTTTATCCCCGAAGACGGAAGAACCAGCGCATTTTTCCAGTCTCCTGGTCAGTGTCCAGAAAAAGGTAACTATCTGGCTCTAGTCCTTAATTCCCGAAATCATCTTCTTCATCCGAAGATGTAGATGCCTTGTTCCCGTTCACAACAGTGTTGTGTTATTTGCGCCTTTCGGCCGATACATCCGACTTCTGCGGGCATTTGACGCCGAGTTAAGCCTTCCAGATTCCGGAAATTATCTTTTTTTTTTTTAATATTGGCTTTATCCACTTATTTTTTTACTTCTTTCTTAAGCTGTGTGGTTTTAATTATCATTTATCATCCTTCCCTCTTTTTTCTCTTTCTTCTCCTCCTCCTCTTCATCAGTCGTCGTGGCGTTGGCGGCAAGACGCCCGCCTGGGGATCGGATGGTCGTATGTTCGCGTCCTGACAAACCCAGACTTTTTTTTCCAAAAAGAACCTTGGCCCCCAGGTCGACCCAGCCTTGAGTGGGTACCAGGTGCAGTCCTGGGAAGTAAAGGCGGCTGGTGTGATGCTGACCACATCACCCACCCAGTGCCGATTGGTCTATAAAAATGTAGGTCTGGCCCTAAAATGTCCAATACCCCTAAAAGCGGGGAAAAGGGCCCTTTACTTGGCTTACACCT